GACTTCGGTGCGGTGATCGCAGACTATCCGGAAAAGTGCTTGAAGCTCACTTGCCAGATGCAGAACATAACTGAAGCACCCTATATCGCGGGCGCTATAGTGGAGGATTCCGTGGACAACTGCAGCTGCACGTATCAGATCCGTAAAATATAATTTTGTGTCAAACTTTCGCATCATTCCATGTCCTCTTGGGAGAATTATATTGTAACCTTCTTTTCCCAATCTCCCCTCCTCCAGGCTGCAGCCTGGGTGGTGAGCTGTATGAGAACGGCCACCTGCTTACTGACGACGACCACTGTATAGCTGTGAGATGCGTGGATGGCCAATGGACCAATGAGAACTACATGAACGGCGATTGTGAGTCTTTACTTGTTACTGAAATAGGTACAACAGTTATAAATGAAAGAGAATTTACTCATTTGATAATGCATCTAATCGCTTTTGTCTTCGCAGGCCGGTCCTGCTTTGTGCAGGATCTCTGGAGACAGTCGCTACGTTTTGACGGCACAGCATATACCCACTCCGACCCTGATTGCAGGTTTGCACATTTGATCCGTTTCCAAGTGGTCCTGAACACTTGATCAGGCCCACAACTTCCCGCCATTGCAAAATTTGCTTCAATTCATAAACAAACCCACTCTGCTTCTCGTAAAATCAGATTGGATTGTTATGGACATGTCTTGTGAAACTGTGTAAAGTCATATTTACTTAGGCTCAGTCTTGTTGACACTAATTCAAGCATTGGCGTCTAAGAAAAAATTAACCTGTTAGAAGCAAGGATACAATCTCCAGGGAGTATATATGAACTGTGTTAGTGCTGAACTATATGTAAGAAGCTTAATTCAAGTTGAAATATATTAGCGTCAATTAAGAGAAATTACTAACAATAATTTGATAGCATTTGTTGAACCAACCCAAAATTCCCCTCTTAAATCTATAATAACGAAAAGTTCCTTTACAGCCGTCAGAATATCTGGAAAAAATCTGTCATTTTTGGGTTTTTGGTCTTTACATATACCTTGTCTAAAACACAAGCCTTATCTTATGTTCCCCTCCTCGTCATGGTAGTTTCAGTAACAGTATTACAATTAAGAAGTAAGAACATAACTAGAATCTCAGTAGTAACACAGGCCTATGTTTGCGTTTATGGGTTTATGTCTCGTGGTACCAAGATACTTATTTGTGTGAAGGCAACGGTTGGACATGAAGAACTCTTAGATGGAAACGTATAGCTATTCTACATAGAACCGTAACACTTTAATAAGAAGCCGAGGATTACGTATTTAAAACAATGATAAATGATTTATCTAGAGCATATGCCGAACCTCTGATTCTGATATTGGAACCCAATATAAGAGAAAGCTAAGTTCCTATAAATGTGTTGTAAGTCATCTACTGCCTTACAGTATACTACCAAAGTATAAGGAAGATTTCAAGAACATGTTTATGTGAAACTTGCTTGGACTGACTAACATGGCCTTTTTTCTGATATTCTGCTTTTGAGTCATCCCTTGTTTTTACATTTTTGCATAGAGAATCTGCAGAATTTAGGCTTGATTCCTTGACATTTTCTCTGTAAACGAGCTATTGAGTAGGCTCGTCTTCATCCAATGAATGAAGTACTTATAACAAACAAAATAATGATAATGATATTAATGATAAAATAAAGGTTAAGAAGTCATACTTATACCCGGCCAAATATGTAATGCTACAAACAAAAAACAAATTAAATGCATTTTGTATTGCCAGGATTTCCAGGACTTTCTAGACCGACTTTCTGAAATCATTATTGTTATTTTTCCGATCACCATTAAGGTGATCTACAGATCTACGGGTAACCTATCTCACGTTTATGGTCCTTTGCTCTTAGTGAGTTTGGAGAATCATTGATCAGATATATTTGCCTTTAACTCAATTCGTTTGTCTCTATTTTGCATGATACCTTTATCATTTTTTTTTTTTTCAACATTCATATCTATTACTTTTTATATGAGATTTGAAGCCTGAAACTCAAAAAGCCATCAACACAAATAATGTCTTCATCTCTGCATTCGCCCTTCGCGCTCTTCTGTATATCATGGTTCAAGGCTGAGACGAGATGCCACACCGTCCAAACTGTTACCTCTGCAAAGAATTAGATGGTGTCTGCGTCCATGCTTTTTGTTTTACTAATAATCTAAACTATACAGTGACCACATCTTTCTACTCGGTATTACTCTATCATGTGAGTGATTTGCCGCTTATTTCCCTCTGAAATAACTGAGGACATCTCGCCAACACTCCAGATGGTTCAGGTACTACTCTTGTCCTCCAGCTTCTCTCAGATCTTGAATTTCCTGAGACACAACCTCCATTGGAGAGGCAGATTTATTCCCGCTTCGGATTAATGCCACCACTGATTCCGCCCATTCCCTCTTCCTCGTCCTTTTCTAAATCTTATTCATTTTTCCGAAGCCTGAGCTGGTCAGAATGGTCACATAGGGAGGTAATTTTATAATGC